CAAAGCTCTTGGTAGGCATGTTGGACTTTTACGCGCGGTGGAAACGTCCTCACTGTTTCACTCACACCGATGAAAACTTAATGAAAAGCCTTTCACACGGAGGTTTTAAATGTCGGAGGCGCCTCAGGTGAATCCAATTATCTGTGACTGATGTAACGCCCCTGCTGGGTCAGTTACAGCTGTGCACGTTTCAAATAGGTAAACAATTCACAATAGGCCTTATTGTGATGTTTATGCTCTTAATGTGTCTTGTTTAAATTAGTTGAACATTTTAAATGGCGAATTGTTTGCGTTACTATAGTGTATACAATAAGTATATAAAATGTGTTCACATTTGTGTCATTATACAGAAGAGAAACGATCAAGATAATAATAATAATAATAAAATGATTTTGTTAAATGAGTATCAGCGTATATATTTATGTGGTTTTATATTATAAATGCTGTTGTTTTGGCGTGTCTTAGACAATAGATGGCGGCATAATACAATAGACATCTACATACCTACAGTATGTGTGTGTTGACTTGATTGTAATGAAATCTGTGTATTGCTAAAACAAATGAAATTTACACAGATCCTGAGAATTCCTGTTGTATGGCTGCAGTGGAGTAACTACTTAGATAGGTTTGACTTTAGGTTTAGTTTTTATTTTAGGTGCATCACTGCGGGAATAGGATGGAAAGATTAAACAAGTGCAAGAAAAGAAAGTGGATGAGTGAGAAAGCAGGCAGGGAAAAGCGGGACAGTGATGGAGTCTTGTCTTCCTCTGTAACAATCAGGAAGGGTTGAACAATAGCAGCTGAGGAGAGGTTTCCCGCTGAGCGAGCTATAATCATGCACTTCCTCTTGATAATGTGTATACATACATACCTACAGAAAAAGGGTTGCGTGACTGTGGTTGCTCAGACTCGTGTAAAAACACACTCCTTCTGCAGCCACACCACCACCAGCCTGAGTGTAGGTCACAATCCTTGTCATGGTTATTTCCTTAAACGTCCTTCTCACACCTTGCTCTAAATAACCTACAGTAATGGCCAAAAATATTGGCACCCCTGCATTTCTGTCAGATAACTCACCACTTCTCTCAGAAAATTGTATTTGGTATTCTCATTTTTATTTTTTTTGTTTGCAACAAAAAACAGGAAAAAAGCCAAATCTGATCCATTTCACACAGAACTCCAAAAATGCACTGGACAGAATTACTGACACCCTCAGCTTAATATTTGGTAGGACACCCTTTAGACAAAATAATTGAAATCAATCTCTTCCTGTAACCATCAGTGAGTTTCTTCCACCTCTCTACTGGAATTTTGGACCACTCTTCCTTTGTGAACTGCTCCAGGTCTCTCAGATTTGAAGGGTTCCTTCTCCCAGCTGCTGCTCTGAGATCTCACCACAGGTGATTTATGGGATTTAGATCAGGACTCATTGCTGGCCACTTCAGAACTCTCCACCTGACTGTCTGAAACCATTTCTGGTTTTTAAGTCTGCTTTGGGCCATTGTCCTGTTGTAAGACCCATGTTCTCTGACAGAGACCCAACGTTCTGACACTGGGCCCCACATTGAGCCCCAGAATTCACTTCATAATGATGCCTTACACACAGTCAAGACATCCAGAGCCCGAAGCAGCAAAGCAGCCCCAAAACATCAGTGAGCCTCCACTATGTACCACAGGTGATTTATGGGATTTAGATCAGGACTCATTGCTGGCCACTTCAGAACTCTCCACCTGACTGTCTGAAACCATTTCTGGTTTTTAAGTCTGCTTTGGGCCATTGTCCTGTTGTAAGACCCATGTTCTCTGACAGAGACCCAACGTTCTGACACTGGGCCCCACATTGAGCCCCAGAATTCACTTCATAATGATGCCTTACACACAGTCAAGACATCCAGAGCCCGAAGCAGCAAAGCAGCCCCAAAACATCAGTGAGCCTCCACTATGTTTGACTGTAGGGACCATGTTCTTTTCTTTGAAGGCCTCATTTCCTTATCTGAAAACAGCAGAATGACGTGCTCGACCAAAGAGCTCTATTTTAGTCCCATCTGTCCACAGGAGATTCTCCCAGAAGGATTGTGGCTTCCTCAGCCTTGTTTTGGAAAACTCCAATCAGGCTTTTTTATGGTTCCATGTCAGCAGTGGGTCCCCCTGGGTCTCCTACCACAGCATCCCTTGTCATCCAGATGGCAACAGATAGCGTGAGCTAACACTGATGCACCTTGTGCCTGCAGGTCAATTTGAATTTGTCTGGAAGTTGATTGAGGTTCTTTATCCACTGTTGAAATCCTTTGTTGAAGTCTGTAATTTATATTTCTCTCTCATCCATGTCCAGGGATATTAGCTACAAGGCCATGGGCTGGAAACATCATGACCTAGTTGTGCACAGTGGACACAGGAACAGCCAGATCTCTGGAGATGGACTTGTGGCCTTGAGACTGCCCAGGCTTTTCCACTATTGTGGTTCTCAAATCCTCAGACTCTTTCTTTTCTTCATGTTTACAATTTTATTTATGTGTATGTGAAGTACTTTGGTTGACACTTTGTTTTCCAAGTGCTATATAAATAAATTTGATTAGATTTGATTTGAAAGAGGGAGACAGAGAGCAATCAGCTAATGAACACAGCTGAACATTTGCCAAGGAGCCAGAGATTTTATTTTTATCAGAATTTTGTGAAAAGCACCCATCATCCATCATCCATCATTTATCCTGGGTCATGGGGGGCTGGAGCCTTTGTGAAGTGCAAAAAGATATACAGTAAATAGAATATAAAACAGAGCAAATAGTAGATAGTGGACCTACACAAAGGACTTGACCTGACCAGAAACATGACAAAATAGATCCATGCTGAAGATGCTCCATGTTAATGGTGGCTGTGCATTTGTCAGGCTGTTTTAGGGGTTTTCTGCCCTCTAGTGGCCAGAAATGCAATAACGCAGCTTTAAGAATGTGATTTTCATAAAGAACTGTAAATGTTTGTGAGAACATATTGGATTTCAAAGATAGTTATGGAGGAAGAGGAACTTTATTTGCCCAGTTAAGATGCTTGTTGAACAAGATCATTCAGAGAGTTCATGTACCTCCACGAAGGCACATCATTCACCCACACAAATGGATCCCTTGTGAAAAATGAGATCCAGAAGAACACAAAATATGTCATAAAATCTCTAATCTGGATTGGATCTGGATCATCTTTTAGGGTATGGTAGGCAGTTATATTGTGCATCTTACTTGAACATGTCAGGGTTCTATCTTCATCAGAGGCTAGGTTATGGCAGAAAATATGCCTTAAATGTGGTTTTCAATGTTAACTTTAACTGGCCGTCAGATCTGGAATCCAGATCAAATACAGATGAAATTTGGTCTGGTGATAGATATTGTCACACTACATCTGTGTCAAATTTCAAATGATCTAGATAACTTTTGACGGAGATATGACTTTTAAAAATTATGCCCCATGTTAAAGATGGGATTTGCTTGTGTGTTTTTTGGTGACCTTGACCTTCAACAATTTTCAGACAAAATTTTATCATTTCTAGGGTTGGACCCCACCAATGTCTGTACAAACACACACATGCACGGAGCCAAAAACATAACCTCCTCAGTGGAGGTAGTTATACCAGATCTTCATTTTATATCAACAATTTTTCCTGTAAAACTAAAGGGCTAGACTATTGGCCAATTGCTTGTTAAAGGGCAAGATACTGTTCAGGCATTTTTCAGATTTTGGTCATCAGTCAAGGATCATAGTGACATGAACAACAGACCTCAAAATTCAAGCCTTTAAAAGTGGACGGAAAAGGATATTTTCACTTTTCTGGAAACTGCCCATGACTGTTTCTCTTCCTCTCTGTTTTCTTATCCCTGCTTCTCTATTGGTGATATCTTTCTGTCAGGTGTGGGAAACCAGGATAGATAAACAAGGGTGGATGATTTCACTTGTTCTCATGCTCTCTTGCTACTTTTACACGATCATTATAGCTAAAGTTAAAATGTCCCTATGAAGACAACCCTCTACTGTGAGCTCATACCACTAATATTAAATCTATATATAGCAGTGCTGCTTTATTAGATTAAAAGATACTGGAAAAATACATCTTCAGATACCTCACTCTCCTTTCTCTTTTTTTCTTTGCTTAAACAAAATACGTGTTGAAGTGATTTTCTGCAGTGTGTGTGTGTCTGGCCCTCTCATTGCCCATGAGATCATCCCCCTGGCCTTTTGACATGGAACTGCTTCTGGTTCCTCAGAGATGCCCTGAAGGATGTGGAGTGTTTCTGTCCTGCCCTGTCGTCTTTGACTCGTTGTTAGACTGAACACACACAGTTACAGTTAGTGCCACTTAAATGACAAGAACATTTGATATCAGTGTGAAAATGTGCAAATCTTTCTTTTTGGTCCAAAAACTGTAAGTGATATCTGTTCCCAAGGAATCACAGTAGCGTAGACTGCTCCCTTTAATACTTTTTACTTCATCAGATTTAGAAACAGTATATATATTGAACCCAGTTTGGCTCTTCAGAGCTGCAGAGGCTCCTCCTTTAATATTCAAGATACTTTTATCCAAGCATGTAAAAGCTACATCAAGTAACCTTAGATTCAAGTCAGCCTGGCAGACTGTACCACTTTCTGATAGGTATTTATAAGTAGTTGCTAATCTCTGCTAAGCTCCATCTCCAACATCCTTCTACCAATATAACCACTATCCCTCCTCTGCGCATGTCCAAACCATCTCAATCTGGCCTCTCTGACCTTGTCCCCAAAACAGCCGACCTGAGCTGTCCCTCTGATGTGCTCATTCCTAATCCTGTCCATCCTGGTCACTCCTAAAGAGAACCTCAACATCCTCATCTCTGCTACCTCCATCTCTGCCTCTTGTCTTTTCCTCACTGCTACAGTCTCTAACCCATACAGCATAGCTGGTCTCACTACTGTCTTGTACACCTTTCCTTTGATTCTTACTGACACTCT